TTTGCCGTACACCGAATAATCGAGCTAAATCAGGTAGAGAAGCGTATTTTCGAAATCGATTCATCGTTTCTTCTCTCGTTCGCCTCTTTAAATCTCGCGACAAAATCGATAAAGAAAAATATTTAAATACTCTTTCATACTTTATCTTTTCACAATGAAACAACGAAGGAGAGGCGCGAGTGGGGAGCGCAGAACGCGTTACGACGTATCCCTCCTCGAGCCACGAAAAACAAAGAATCCGCAAGCCCGATTATCAGCTTGTCCCGCGAGAGAAACGTTTACCCGCAGTGTTTTTCACTGGAAAGTGGCATTTAAAGCAAACAAAAAAGCGAAAAACGTCCCTTTGAAGGAGAGATTCTTCGTCTCGAAGCTCTGTTTTTTCTCTCTCACGAAAGGAACGCTTTCGAGATGAAGCGCCTCGCGCGTTTATCGTGCGAGTTAAAACTTCCCATTCCCCTTCCCCCTTCTTACTTTTCCACGCCTCCGTTGGGCGACGATTGAGAGCCACTGATCAGGCGTAACGCATACAATGCCTCGTATGGACCAGTGTAGGTATAGTTCCCACCTACCTGGTCTCGATAAACTGATTTATTTCGGCATCATTGTATCGGGTCGAAGTCGCATCTGTTCCGGTGAATTTCGTAGCTCGGCGGAGATCCATGATTCCCGGTGGCCAATACCTTCCGCGCGCTTTCGATGAAATATACACCGTCGGTTACGACCTTCCCTCTCCTCCTTCCCGCTCTTATTTCATCTTTTTGTCTTTTCGGCCTCTTTTATACGTCATATCGAAGGCCACGTCGATTCAGAATCCTTTTTTTTTTTTTTTTTTTTTTTTTGGTATAGTAACATAACTCACGATACGAAGATCGTGCGTCCTTTCTTTTTCGTGGTTTTTCTAACGGTAGTTGGACATATTTTGTGACAAGAGATACGTTCTCTAATTCATGAATTTGTTAAATAGAAATGAGAAATTGGAATTAAATCGTGATAAGAATTTAAAATACTTTGAATTGTATTTTGAATGAACTATGATTAATGACTCGCAATAATATAAGATAAAAATATATTTTATGTGACAAAAACTGTAAGAATATGGATGAGAAAGAATTACGAATGTAATATAAAAATTTGAATCAATTCGAAGTAATTTAAAATCGTTTAGAAATTTTTTATTTTAAAAGTAATGGATTTCTTGTAAAATAGAAATCGAATTGAACGTAGAAAAGAATAGCAAGAATAGTAATAAAACCTCGAATATATTGAATACATACAACTGTGTCAATTTGTATTATCGATCTCACTCTATTGCGTATGTATAGAAACGCTATTTCAAAATTCTCAAAGATTATCAAGATTTTCAAGTTCTCGCAAGTTCTTTATCAATTTTCTATAGCTCTAGAATTATATTCCAAGTGATTCGAATCTCCATAATCTTGGAATTGTTTCAAACATGAGAATTGATTCGAACGTGCTACGAGTATTCCTCCTTATCTCAATAGAATATTCATTTCATTATTTTTTTATCAAATTTGTTGTAAATAAAATTTGTACAATTTTCTTTGAAACAATTAGCTTAAAAGTGGATATTTCAAAAGCAATTGAACGATACAGATATATACGTCAAAGAAATCTGAATGTCTCTTGTGCACGTTTCCTTTCGTGGGCGCCACGATATTGATGTTACCGTTCACTCTCTTCCTGAGAAACGAGAGGGAAGGATGCATCTCCTGTCATCCCCGTACAAGCCATCGCGTTGTTGCCGACCCTTTCAAGAAGAATACGCATTAATTTATATCTGCATACGTCGAGCATTATTATGTTAATCGTGAAGCAAGGTGCCAGCATCATTCGTTTTGAACAGACGTTCTGCTTTAGATCTTGGTTTACCTGAAGTGTTCTAGATATAAATACGTTCGCATGGGAAAATCGTCGCAAACAATCTTCCACACTGATAATATTATTTAATGTTATAAACGGTTTCGTTCGGTTTATTCATCCTTGGTTCTTTTTCTTTTTCTTTCTTGCAGAATTGACGAGATTCAACCGTTTCGAATTTCGATAGTTCCAATGGTTATCTTCATCTGAATGAAAGAGATGTCAGGTCAAGGATAATTTATTTTTCAATTTATCACAATTATTGTCACTCCACGAAATGAAAAAAGGAGAAAAATAGAAAATCATCGAGAAGAAAAAATATGTATCGATATCGATGGAAGGATTTCTATTCTGTTAATGATCGTTCACAAATGCTTGCTCGAAAATGGTTCGAGCAATTTCTTCGGTTTCAGATTGACAATATCTATCAGGAAATTCAATCGCAGCGACCCCATCGACAGAATTTGTATATCGGAAAAAAACAACCTCAGGCGTAATGTAGACCCTTTTCCGGTACAGTGTGCTCGTTCAAACGCAGTATAAATAGAATTTTCATGGAAGTATGACAAAGTAAAGTAAAACGTGAAATGCTCGATTGATCTCTCAATTTTTTTTTTTTTT